AGGAGGTGAGTAAAACCTGGGGGTCATAGCGAACCCCAAGGACACAGATCGAACGCTCTACATCGCCTGTGGCCTCTCTTACTGACTTAAAACTGCCTCGTGTGCAGTGCCAGGATCGCATCAGTAGCCTTCCGGGCCTCCTAAGGATCATGCCACCTGTCTTCCACCACCTTGTGAAAGTCATCCTGTTTCTGGGCGATTGCCCAAGCTCGAAAGTCATGATCGTACCCCTGTAGCTGCACTAAACCACTCAACCATCGTGCTGCACTCCCCTCTAGATAGGAAGCAGCCACAAGCACTTCCTCGTGCGGCAAGGTAAGTTTGCACTTGACGTAGACCGACATTGCCCTCAACCAAGTGTCGAGGTCTTCGCCCCTCTTATCCCCTGTAAAGGGTTTAGGAGCAGCGATGGCCGTCTTTAGAACCCACTGACTCTGTCCCGGTACCTGTACCATTCCGGGCTGTGGACCCTGTGGTGCAGGTTGCTGCACTAGCTGCTGCTGGGGCTGTGTACTTTGCGGCTGTGCAGGCTGCGAGACAGGAGGCTGCCCGCTTACGGCAACCTGAGACGGAGGTTGGGAGAACACTGTCTGTACAGGAACCTGCAAACTAGGACCTGCTGAGAACCCTCCTGCTAACGGCATACCGAAAAAAACGGTTTGGACCGATGATGGGGAGACATATGGGGATACCCCAGTCACGGGTGGGATTAAAGGAGGAGGATGTACAACGGGCCAGGCACCGGGCCCGGACGGCAATGGACCTGCCTGCCCTCGCCCGACCAGCAAGGCCAGACTCTGCTGGATGTCCTAAGGAGAGTCGTGTGGTGCTCCTGCATTTCTACTACATCTAGCAAGGCGGCCCGCAGGGTCCTCACATCATCATCCATGTTCGTCAGGTTCATCTCCTCTAACTCGCTAATGTCCGCTTGTCTCCACTGCATCCTGGCTCTACTTCTAATCATTCTCTCTTTTTCCGCTTTTCTCTCTCCTAAGGCCTTCTGTAGTTGTGCCTCCTGCATTGCTGCCTGCTGTATGGCGATCTCATCGGAAGTCAACACTAATGGCTGGCTTGCCATGACGCCAGTGGACTGACTCAAGGTCTTCACGACCGTTGACCCTACGGTCCCTGCACTGCTAGCCTCGGAACTCTGCTGCTCAGCAGTTGCCATGGCTGCTGAAGCTGCGGCTTCACTTGCGAATGCCCTGGTGGCCTCTGCTGCCCTAGCTCTCCGCTGCTGCTGCTGTCTCTCCCTAAGCTGGTGGAACAGTAACCTATCACCCTCGGGTCCTAATGCCACGTGGGCAATCGGGCATCTAGCCGATCGCAAGATCCGGTCGTCCTCGCTAGTGTTATCTCTATCGCTCATAAGCTACAGAACTGTACACAATCTGCACTAAGACACTCTTTGATGATTACCGCAGCGTAGTGCACAGACCAATTTATAATCAGACTAATTAATCGGTGGCTGGATCAGAGAGTATATACATTTGGGTCCAACAGGTAAGTTCAGGTCCCTACAAACGAAACTACTTTGACTTTGACTAGTTCGCAAACAGAAGCACAATGAACAAAGAACAGTTCTAAACTATGCTGTCTGTCAGATGTCAATGGCTGTACATCTAACTAATCAAAATAAAAATAGAATCGTTTGTTGGGTCTGTTTGCAGAATGGGATCTTGCCCGAACTTATCATCTGGAATTTACCCCTCCCTCAATTCTTCTTGAATGTCTCTTGTCGACAACGTCCCTGAGCGATCCAGATAGTGTGCGTGTCTAAAGGTGTGCACACAGCCCACCCCTGTGCCCCGAGTCCTGCTGAGCTGGCCAGCCCTGCACAGTCTTTATCCTCGCAAGCAGCGAGCCTTGCACCGACCAATTGGCTGATCAGGAGGCGTTTTTATGGACGGCCCCTGAAGTCCTCAGGAATTCTTTAACGTCGCAAACAGGACGACGATCACAGCCAATGGAAGGCACCCCGCCGGTGCTTATTTATAGACGCCCGGTCTCGTCTGTCCCCTAGGGCTGGCTTGCCCTTCAGAACCCCTCTACAGCGCAGCGAGCAGACAAAGGACAAAGCAGCAAAGCATGCGTGAGTGGTGACCGTGACCCAGTGCTTCGTCCAGGGCCCTTCAGATAGCACCGCCCTCTCCTTCCAGATGCTCCACGTGAAGATTGACGACTCTCAAGGTTGAGCGCACACGACTCCTCACATGAGAGGACTCTCAAGACAGAACACACATCCTCACGGTAAGAAGTGTCGAAGAGGGTAGATAAGTTTAGTTGCAACGTACCTCAAAATAGCTGCCCCCAACCACAGATATTCTCACCAAAACCGTTCCACCTCAGCATCAATCACACACCGGATAGTTCTCATCACACTGCGAACACCCAATAATCACCGCTTAGCCTTCCTGCCGAACCCCTCTCCACCTGGGTCGCCTACTTATCTTCGCCCTCCTCACTACACACGTCCCACGGCACGGTCGCTCACCGCACACACCGCGTGCATGTACCGCATTAGGCAGAAGATAAGCGCCAGACGAGCGCACCGAACCACAGCTCCGATACCAAATTGCAAGGAAGATGAGCAATAGCGAACTTCAGCAATCAGACAGCATCATACACATGAGCTCACAGCCTGTGCTGGGTCCATCCTGCATATCTCGCCCAGGGCCTGGCTTAGATACATTTGATAAAAGGAAGCCAGGGCCTGGGCACCTTCAACCAACTGGCGCTGCGCAACGGCCTGAAATTCCTCAGTTGCGGGTTGACCCCAAAATAGGCCTGTAGGCTTCGGTCGGGCCTGCTTTCACTTAGGGCGGCCGACTGTACTGGAAATCACGATGATGGGCACAAGGTTCCAAATGTTTCTGGAGCTAGGCTACCAGAATGGCCCGGGACCACTTGCCTGGCCAGGCCAAAAAAGAAAAAGAATAAGTTAAATAACTTATGTTACCAGAGCGGCCCAGGACCACTTGCCCGGCTGAGCCAAAAATGAATTAAATAATAATAATAATAATAAATATTAAAAATAACTTTAAAATTTTAAACTTTATTATTGTTATTATTATTTTTGTTTTTTTTTGTTCACCGTGATCTCTTTGGCCACTGGCCAGTGTGTGATGCAGATGCTGCATGCTCATTGGCCCGCGGCCATTCTGTGATGTGTGCGCCTCTGGTGGCTCACGCCCAGGGCCTCAACTGTACGTGCCCTGGGCTCAACTGCCTCTCGAGCTGCTGCTTCCGAAATGAGCCAGGAAAAAGGCTCACGTTCCTCTGTAACCTACTGGCGTGCTGTAACCTTCCAGAATGAGTCAGAATTGACAAAAATAGGCCTCTCGTAAATATTCTGGCCCGCCTTCACTTAGGGCGGGCACAAGTCTGTACGGGGCCTCAGCCGAGATGTGGGGTGAGTCCTAGAAGGCCCACTGCAAAGATTCAGGCCCGCGTGTAGATTCCAACAGCCCTTCCGTGTGGTCACACTGGCCCGTACCCAGGCCTTGGCACGCATTGGCAGGCCCGCCTTCACTTAGGGAGGGCAATGCCTCTTTCCAGCACTGCCGAGGGCTCAAATCCTCGCACCTGGTCCTTGCCCAGCCGGGCGGCCCAGTTTATAACACATTACATATTAGCTTGAACTCTGTGCTTGGTCATTTCTCATTTTCTTGTGCCTTTATTTTTATTCCTCTGAATTGTTGGAGAGTGCTGTTCTGTCATTGTTAATGTGGCCTTTTGTTACAACAAGTAGATGCCCGCCGCAGTTGGGCAGCAGCATATGAGACAATTATACGATGTGGACGGGGCGATACAGTATGGCCCAGGTGATACTTTGCGGGGTGGAGTTACTGTGCGTGCGGGTCAAATTGCATCATGTGGGCTGGACAGTAACTCCATGGGGGTCAAATTGCATCATGTGGGAGTTACTTTTGAGGGGTGGGAGTTACTGTGCACGCGGGTCAAATTGCATCATGTGGGCTGGACACTAACTCCATGGGGTTCAAATTGCATCATGTGGGAGTTACTTTTGTGGGGTGGGAGTTACTGCATGGGGGTCAAATTGCATCATGTGGGAGTTACTTTTGTGGGGTGGGAGTTACTGCATGGGGGTCTAATTGCATCATGTGGGCTGGACAGTACAGTCTGGGCCACGGCAATGCTAGGTGGGATGTGGTAGAAATGGGAAAAACAAATAAATTGCGGTGCTATGTGGGCCTTGCTCCACTATCCATATGTGCAAACGGCAAAAACTATGGGGGTGTATCTTTCCATGTTGTAGCGCAAGATTCGGTCTCATTTTGTGCATTTGATCAGTAGTGGAGCGAGGCCTCGTGGTGTGTACCTCTTGGCGTCGCTCTGCTACTCACCAATTTTGGGAAATGAGAATGAATCTTCCGCTAGAACATGGAAAGGTGCACCGCCATAGTTTTTGTCATTTGTGGCGCGTAGTGGAGCAAAGCCCTATGATGCCCCAAAGCGGGCCTGCTATGTACGTGTGACCCTGCTACTTTCGGAAATGACAAAATTCCTTAGCTCCTACAAAATGAGAGAATGAATCTTCCGCTAGAGTGTGGACAGATACACCGCCATAATTTTTGGCTTTTATGCATGCGGTGAGTAGTGGAGCAAAGCTTATTTCGAAAGGAACTCCACGTGTGCTTCGTTGAATGACTTGTACAAAATGAGAATGAATCTTCCCGTAGAACATTCAAACATACATCGCCATTACTTTGTCTTTTGTGCATTTGGTGAGTAGGGGAGCAAACCTGGAGGGGCCGCGGCAGCCTGTCGACAATGGCAACGCACCCAGCGGGGAACTGCCTCCGATGGCAGATATTTCCCAACACTGGCAGTGGGCTCTTGCGCGGGACCGTTACGCGAGACCCACCGTTTGCTCTAAGAGTGTGTAGGGATAATTTCAGAGTGCTGTTTTGTGACTTTTGTCTTGTGTTATGTGCCCTTTTTGTTCCTATTGCTGTGGTTCATTCTGGTATGTGCAGTTTTCAATACGTACTTTCACACATCGACATGGCATTGCAGTTTGGAGAAGACGCAGAGGTGAAGATTCGGGATCAAGATGCCGACTTCGGTGGTGGCACAGAGGCTGGCGGCTACAACTCTGACGATGCAGTGGATGATGTTTAATTTTTTGTGTCAGAGTTTTGTGTCAGAATTTCAAAGCTGGTCAAGCACGACGGTGCAGCGCTTGGCCGTCTTCTGTTTGCAGAGTCAGCTCAGGAAGAGGAAGAGGAAGAGGTGGAGGAAATGCTTCTTACCTGATCCTGTTTTGTAGCACATTTTATATTTTGATCTTCGAGCTTTTTGCCAGTCTTGAGGGAGAAGAAGAGGAGGAAGGGGAAGAAGGACAGCTAAAGCTATGGCTGCTTGCAGCCGTCGCAAGGAGAATCCTGGGAGAGGATGCATACCTCGAACGGGTAGGGGACTCCATGTCGATGGAAGTTTCCGGTCGAACATGTGAGCAATTCATGCCGCAGAGTGTGGCGGTTGTGTGTGGCTAAACATAACAAGAGAGAGTGGAAGAGCAAGGAGAGGCCATCTTAGGTGGGTAGAGGAGCAAGGACAGGCAATCGTAGGTGAGCAGTGAGCACGAATTGGTGGTCCTGGAGAGTAACAAGGATGCAAGCCCAGAAACTTCAGCGCATGAGCAACAAACAACGTGAAGTCAGGCAGTTGCTGCCAAGAGCTAACATAAGAAGAGAAGGGGGGGAGAGGGGGGGGGAGGTGGGTAGAGGAGCAAGGAGAGAGAGAGTCGTAAGTGAGCACTCCTTGCTGGCTCTGAAGACTAAACATGGATCGGAGGAAGAAGAGGAAGGAGAGGGAATCATAGGTGAGCACGCCTTGGTGGTACTGGAGAATAACATGGATGCAAGTCCAGAAAACTTGAGCATATGAGCGACAAACACCGTGGAGTCCGGCAGTTGCTGCCGAGAGCTGCTGCCGAGAGCTAGCATAAGATGAGAAGTGGAGGAGGGAGAAACCTCCACCAGGCCCTAGTGGGAGTTGGAAGGGCGTGGAGACAGAAAATTGTAGGTGAACATGCCATGGCCGTTGCCGAGATTGACATGGATGCAAGTCCAACCTTGAATGTATGAGCGATAAATGTCGGACAAACAACGCCGAGTCTGGCAGTTCTCCACTAAGAGGAAAGGTGGATTTTCATATTTTTTGGCCGAGTGTCGTGTTTTGATTGGTTCCTGTAAAACTTGTGAATCTTTGTAATTACTAATTGCTCTTCCGTTCGTTGTTCACGATTGCGGTGAGAGCTGATGGGTGATGGGGTGAGAGGCTTAAGGCTTTCTCAGAAGATGGTGGGTGGCAATAGTTGAAAGTTGTAAAAAAAGTAGCAGCAGTCATAAGCACAACAACAACAACAACAACAACAGCAAAACAAAACAAAACAGAAGAGAAAAAAAGAAAAGGACATAATCAATGGAACAATCCTATGGATGATGTTTGTGTACTGGATGAATGATGTTTTGATCAGTTTAGGTGGGATCGCGGCCTCAGGGAGCCCACATCTGCCCACCTTGCACTACTACCCTACTTTTCTCTTTCTGGGTCAAGGAACAGGTGATCTCTCTCTCTCTCTCTCTCTCTCTCTCTCTCTCTCTCTCTCTCTCTCTCTCTCTCTCTCTCTCTCTCTCTCTCTCTCTCTCTCTCNCTCTCTCTCTCTCTCTCTCTCTCTCTCTCTCTCTCTCTCTGTGTGTGTGTGTGTGTGTGTGTGTGTGTGTGTGTGTGTGTGAGAGAGAGAGAGAGGTGAGAGAGAGAGAGAGAGAGAGCTAAGTTTCACAAGCTGTCACATGCACTGAGAACAGTGCGGGTTGCCTGTTTCGTTCCGACAGCCACCATCTTCACACGTATAGAACACCCGGTCATTATCTCTGTATCAGGACTGAAAGTTAGCCCAAATACGGGTGAGGACGGTAGTTGCATGCAAAGAAATAGTTATCGGAACAGCGACTGAGAACTGAGATTAGTTTATATACAGGTTATAAACTAGTGGAAATCGAACTTAGTCCTATTGTCTTTATAAATTGGATGTAACTTTGTATAAGTAGGGGAGCTCGAAGAGATTTCGAGGAACTAGAGAGGTTTGGTCATTCGAGGGACAGAAAGATTTTATTTGTGCAGTATGATAAGAATACCGACCCGAGGCACCCGTTGCCGCTCATTCGATAGCGTTCTTATTACCCCCTGCTGTTCTCTAAGGGGGAGTGAGTGAGACTGCAATAACCCACGCCATATGTCTTGTGGAAAGACTGAGGGCCAACTCGGCCGCCCTCAGCCCAGGCCGAAACAGGGGCAAAAAGGACCCCACACGAGGACTCAGGGCCTGGACGTGTGACAGTTGACTTTGGTCAACTGTCATGACCCCAACAGTCAAAGTTCAAAGGTACCTAGCCCAGGCCGCTGGTCAAGCACACACACTTGTTTGTATGCAGGTACCCGGACAGCATCAGGTCCAAGGGAGAAGTCTGCAACTGTACAATCGGGGCCCTCAGGTGTGAGTCAATCTGGACGACTGTGGGAAAAGCACCCGAGGCCAAACAGCCTCGACAACTGCTACTGAAGGCTGGCCTCGAGTGAGTCAAGCATTCAGTCTTGCTATGCTGCTTGAGCGCTGGCTTGACTTTGACTACGCTGGCTGTATGCTAGCATTGTGGACGACAACGAGGACTGTGGCGACATGCTGGCGCATTCTGCATTGAGCGCCAGGCGTGCTTATGTGGCGCTGCCTCTGGTCTACATCGCATGCCGATGTGGTGCTGCCTTTGGTCTACATTGCATGCTGATGTGGTGCTACCTCTGGTCTATGTGGCGCTGCCTCTGGTCTACATTGCATGATGATGCAGCGCCTGCCACTAGTCTACATTGCTGATGTGGCGCCAGCCACTGGTCTTCATTGATGATGTGGCATATGCCACCTGTCTTGACTGCTGACGTGGCATTGTCCACGTCTACATGAGGTGACTGGTTGCGAGGAGGAAGATCGGGATCTGTGGAAGATTGGGTCGGGTACTCACCTGAGGTTGACGTCGTCACTATAATCTGCTGTGTCTTCATCGTTTTCATAAGATAGGAGTGTCATGTGGCATTGCTGTGTGATCAGAATTATTATACTTGTTATCAGATACTGTTGCTGACGTGGAGAGGGAAGAAGCCTGGAGAAGCAGTGGGATTTTGATGGGATTACTCTTGTGTGATCATTGATTATCTCCTCTACCTTCTCCTTTGTCTAATCCCCCTCACTCTCCTCGTCTACTGGTAATGAGATACTGTTTGGGATATCACTTCACGATTATTGGAGACTTTGCTGCAGATACTGACTCTACAGGTATTTGACGACGGATGAGTATCTGCCAGACTGGGTTCATTACAATTTGGTATCGGAGCTAACTTTTTCATCGCAATCTGTTGTCTGTTGTTAGGTGCTGAAGTGGCACCCAGGTAAGTGGGAGGTGCCGCATGTGCAAAACGAAACGCGTTTATTAACACGCGCGGTATATACCACAAGCCTAGACATTGTAGTATTGCACGTGCGAGCAGCTGTCCCTTGAAGACGATGACGTGGCTACACTGAAGCTGGTGCAGAGAGAGATTGGTACTGCTGACGTGGCGCATTGCTTGTGCAGGACATGGTCTGACGTGTCACGTACCTGTGTCACTACTTCCGCCTGTTGATGCGCTGACATGGTATGTTGGTGTTGAGTATGTGGCAGACCTGCATTTGCTGACGTGGCACCCCTTTTTGTAGACATTCGGTCCTTGTTGCTGATGTGGCAGAACTGCTGCGTTGGCATGCCAAGGGTGACACGTGGCATGCAAAGACTGTGCACTTGTTACTGTTGATTGCGTTGATTTTACAGATTATATTGTTGGGAAGGTTGAAAGCTAACCATTGAGTGTACCGTTGTGTTAGCTGACTACTTGTTGTTGCTTTGTGGTTGTTGTGCGTACTCACGAGTGTGTTGTTGTCTTGATCACACTGGTCGTGGCTGCGGTACCTGTAGCTGTAGGACGTCATCACAGAAAACAGACAGCAAAGTTAGGACTTAGGAAATTGATGATCACCTGCTTCTTTGTATTTGTCTTATTCACTTCTTGCGGTAGTAGTTGTGTGTGTCGTGCAATTCATTCATGTCTTCTGATTTTATTTATTGTGCGGCATCTACATATGTGGAAAAATGAATTCTCTGTGGAAGTGTCTGCGTGCCTCTATCTTGACGTGGTTCATTCCTTTTCTTTTCTTTCCTATCCCTCTCATAGTCTATGCCGATGAGGAAGGGGGGGAACTAAAGACCCGGAGTCGAATTGAAACGAGAAAGCAGACTTTGATCGGGTTTCTCCACCAGTTTCTCGGTGAGGTACACGGTGCTGGTTCAGAGATTGAACAACGGGTTCATGGCCAGTTCAATCTGCATGCTGTAGAGAATGAACTGACAGCCGCAGAAACCGTTGTTCAAGTATTAAAGACCGGCAAGAAGGTTGAGGACCTAATCAAGCAAAGGACGAATAGTCCTTGACCGGTATGTTGCCGAGAACCTGGACAAAATGGATCAGGAAAGAAAAAAGAGAAAAGAAGAAGAAAAAGGAAAGCAAGTAGAACCGCAACCGTCTATCGAGATGATGGAGGAAAATGCCAGGCGACGAGAAAACACTCTGAGAGAAGAAATGAGAAAGATCGAGGAGTTTCAAAGACTACAAGAAGCACAGGAAGAAGAAGAAGAATGAATAATGATCGAATTAAGGGAAAGATTTCATTCTGAAGAAGTAGGCAGTGAGCTTGCATTTATCCTTCAGTCCGTAATGATTTATCTTGTTCCTCTCGATAAGAAGACTGACAGTAACTCTGCCTCGTTAGAGACATTTATCAGACTCTTGAAAGGAAAGGACAAGGTAGGACTTGAGGAGGCGACCAGGGGGGAGTTAGTAAAGAAGGAACCCCAAGAAAAGGATGCCATGAAGCAAGCTTCGTCAGACAAACCTGAAGGTTCTAAGAAAGAACCTGAGAGACCGGTTGAGAAGAAAGAAGATTAGTGGGTTCTTCTCCGCTTCTTTGACCGGTTCCTCTTTCTTAGTGGGTGAAAGAGGAACCGGTCAAAGAAGCGGAGAAGCCGAAAAAGAAGGAAAAAGTGCAGATGAAGTTGCCTTTCATATATAACAACAAGAAGGAAGAAAACCTTTTTTTTTTTTTTTTTTTTTTTTGGAAAAMAAATGCTCCAGTCTATTTGTGGGGAGCAAAAAACACGTGCTGGGAACCGGGCCCAGCGTCCCATATTGAATTGTACCGATCATTGAGATCATTTGAGATACCAGGGCCATTACCCGGCTTCGGCTGAGAACAGTTTGTGAACACGATATGATTCAGAAAACATGGGGAGGATCATGAATATTTAATGACCTATTAAGGAACTACTCATGCAGTAGGCGGCCACAAAGGTCCTACGAGTGCTCAAAACCCTCAGAATCCCTAACAAACCCCGCGAAGCTCTTCCAGGCCTCACGCCCCCACCCTGCTGGGTGACAGCAGCAAATCTTGGCTGTCCCTTAGAATGCCCACCCCAAAGCATCCCCAGATCTCTCCACCAGGCCTCGCGCTCCTGCATCAACAGGTTACATGGCAACACCCCAGCACCGGCCAGCGTCGTTCTGGCATCGAACAGTCGTAGATCACTGAGTATGACAGTTTCAAAAGCGCCTAAAATGGGTTGCTAAGAGTTCCTAGAGTCCTAAGACATTCATAAGAACCACTGACCTATTTTCCACTATTCAGACTCTACCTAGCCACTAGAATATGTGTGTCAAAAGGCGTCCCAACCACGAATCAGACAGGTGAAACCTATTCAATCCACCTACAATCACTACCAACATGGCTGTTTTCAGCACGAACCGAAGCTCTTCCAGGCCTCATACTCCCATCAAGTTAGGTTACAGAGTTGCACCGCCTTGCTCCAGCACCGGCCAGCATTGCTCCAGTTACAACCCCTGATGACCACTGAGGCCGCCCCCGCAAACATCCCCCCAGAGCTCTCTACCAGGCCTCACGCCCCCACTAAGCTAGGTCACAGAGTTGCACCACCTGGCTTCGACTCCGGCCAGCGTTGCTCCAGCATCGGTCTTCGAGGGGCACCGAATTTTCAACCACCCTTTGCAGGATCAGAGATGACTTGCCAGATAACACCTATTTCTACATCCGCCTCGAGAGGCAAACAAATGGAAGGAAATGGTAAACTGGATAATAGACTTGTTCGAGAAAGATCGCCCCTCTCTCCCCCTTCCCCTCCCCCCTCAGCCCTACATTGCCTCCGCCAAGGTGAGTCACCCACTCTCCCTCGGCCCCAATATAAGACCAACCCTCTACCCCCTTTTCCCCAGGAGCACGCAGTCCCCACCTAAAGCATTCTC